TTAATGCAATGTGGAGTGAATGCAGAGAACTTGTTTACAGCAAACTGCTCCATCCTAAAACCCCAAAGAAGATGTTCTGAGGTGGAATCCAAGAAGTGGTCAGTTCCTGCTGTCACTGACAGGTGGCAGCATTTCATCAGTTTTAAAAGACTGGGGCCTTCAGTGTTAATGTGACAGGAATCGTTAAAAAGAAAAGGGAGGACTTGTGGCACCTTAGAGACCAATATTGTGCCTTTGTAGCACTGCAAGATCTAACCCAGCTGACTGCAAACCCCAGGGCAGAGTCCTTCAGCTGTACCATCAATGACCCAAATAGGGGCAGAGAATAAAACCAGCCCCCATGAATAAATAAGCTGCTGGAGTAAAATGATGTTACACAACCATTATTTGAAAAGACCCATGTTTGACTCCTGGAAGTTTGGCGCTCAGCAGAAGTATTTGTAGCCTTGGCCATGTTCTGGGTGAAATCCTGACCCCATGGAAGTCTACTGTACAATTCCTGTGGACTCCCCAAGGCCAGGATTTTACCTGCCAACTCCAAATCTACAGTTAGTTTCTTTAGTCCAACGCTGACTTGCTCCACTTACTCTTGGAACCTTCAGAACACGTTAGGGAGCAATTAATGCATCATCAGCTAGATCTAGATTATTGGCCAAGTCCATTTTCATGCAATTCATAGGACACTTCATGCTGCGTTCTTTGGTAAGTGGTGGGAAGGCTTGGATATTTAAGTTCTGCTGTATATTGTCCATCACAAGATAAAGCGAGTGTCCAACATATGCTGCATAGTCTATGCCATGAGCTGGCCTTTTCCATCCTTCAGAGCTGATAGCTCCCAAGGTCATAGTCTCTCATTTCATAAAATGTCTAGACTTGGATGTTTACTGGCAAGTCAGCTATGAAGAGAGTTAAATCATTAACTTGCTCTGCAAAAACCTAAGATTTCTGGCCTGCTGGTGCTGAAGCAAACACTCCCAGTTCTTGGGTATTTGCTACTGACTCTTTGGTGCCTTATTCTGAATTCTGACTCTCAGCAAGTAGACTAGAAAATGCCTGTCAGAGAGACAAATTCATGAGGGGGTGAGTTGGGGGCCATCATTAGGAGACAACGATGTTGCAGTTGTAGGTTTTGATTGCAGTAGAACCAAGAGGACCCAGTCAGGATTAGTTCCCCTTTGTATTCGTCCCTGTACAAAAATATGCCCCCAGACTGCAAACAGCTTGTAAGTAACCCACAAGGCTGGACATCAGCATTTAATAGATGAAGTAAAAAGTTAAGTAGAAAAAAAACTTCATTGTCCCCATCTGCCCCTCAGCCTAGTCATCCTGACCTGCTGGCCTCTCACAGACATTGCTTGAAAATGAGAGGAGCAGTGTTCTTCCTAGTGCATTCAGGTAAGGCGGTCTACACCTGGAGCACTTGACTGGCATAGGTATTCCAGTGTGGCCGCAGGTTTTACTGGCAAAATGGGGCTTTTGCCTGAATAGCTTATTTCAGCCAATCCCTCTTCCCCAACCCCCACGGGGAAAATAAACTGGCCAAAGTGCAGTTTTGTTAGTATAGCCATATCTTCATGGGCTTCTGCCTGAACTGCTCTGCCAGGCAGAGATCACACACCTCTCCCCCATCCCTCTCTGGCACAGCTTTGCCGTCAGAAGTCTGTAGAGTAGACCTGACTTCTGTGTGTAAGGCAGTAAGGGGCAGCATGGGAGTAGGCACAAAGGTGGTTTTGTGAGAGGTGGACAAATGGACAGTGGTAGCTGGCATTTTTGTGGAGTGGCAGGGGGTTAAGGGAAAGGCAATGACAATTAGGCAGAGTTAGGGACTTGAAGAGCCCCTAAACCAGTTCTCTCTTCTTCATAGCAGTGTCTCTTCAATGTTGGCTAAAGATCTAAATCTTCTTACATGCTTTAAATGGCCCTATATGTAGCCCTGAGACTCAGAGGATTCGGTATGAGGTGGGTACTCTGCATAATGTAGGGTAAGGCAGAAACCACAGGGTTGGTTGGTTCTTGGGTGCACAGGGGTTAAGTGGTAGTCACCCTGTCTGTTGGGCACCCATTGATGATAGTGTTGCAACTAATATTTTAGGCTACAGTATACTTACTGTCAAAGGAGAGCTGTGCAGAAGCATGTTATGGGAGAAGGGAGCTGCCAGTAAACTGGTTAGCCAGCTGTCTTTGTGCCGAATAAAACGGAACATCTTGTTAAGGAATCAGAGGCGCCTTGTAATTCCTCAAGTATAAACTGGTCTTGCTTGTTAAAACCTGTGCACGCTCCTAATTCTCAAAGCTCGGGCAGATCAAGCCTCGTGCTGAAGAATATGCAACAGCAGCATATCCCCTCAAGAGATTTTATTTAGTACTCACTTCCTTGCCAATATTACCCAACAATACAAACAGAGCTCTGTAGCCAGGAAAACTCCCATAAATATTTCTCCAATGTTTATATCCATTGCACACACACTCTGTGTCTCTGCCTCCCTCACGTACACAGGGAGTGACAAAGATTTTGGTTTTGCTGGAAGAGAAGGTGCTCCAGGCAGTGCTCCTGTAGAAATGGAGGGATAGATGATACTTACAAGAATGTGGGCTCTTACACAGTGGTTCCTCTTCAACTGATGTCCTGAAAGCAGACAATTTAGACTCCGTTTTGTGGGTAATGTCTGGATTTCCTTCCCCTTCAAGATTATCTGGAACTCCTTTGCAGATTTCCCCTTTGAGATCCCTGGTATTTGGAGGTGTCAATAACTGGGTCTAGCTATGTTCTGGGCCTAGAGTGATTAAGCTCTGGAGTACACAGAGGGTAGCAGAGTATCAACACACAGCGCATGCCAATGGAAACCCTTTTCCTATTGCGCGACTAGTGTGAACAACCCGTACAGAGAATTCCTGGCAGATTTTCAGGCCTCTAATGTTCAGAGCTCTTGAAAGTGAGTGACTTAAATAGCGCAGGCTGGAGCTAGGCAGTGTGCAAATGGGTCCAGCCTTCTCCGCAGCAGTCCTGAGCCAACTGCATCCCTGTTCTTATGCTTTGAATCCTACCCTCCAGCTACTCCAGTGTTACTAAATCATAACTTGCAACAGCCTCAGAATGGAGTCTTGGACTTTCCTGAACACAGCCTCTCAATCTTGCTGACTTTCAAGTTTCATTTTTGGCACAAACGCTATTTAGGTTTTCGCCAGGCCGCCTTCACATGTTCCCGTGATTATATAATAGTTCACATGGGGGTCATATTTGTACCCCCAATTCCTTCTCTCTCCAGCAGGCGATCGGAGGATGCAGGCCCTTTATCCTTGAACAGTCATTCTCTGCTTGCTCTGTGTTGGGCACAGATGTTGAACGGGGTGCAAACTGAAACTATCAAACTCACTTCATTTGTGAGTTGACCCAGATTCCCTGATGTGGACGTGCATTAATCTACTCTGTCATCTTGCTGTTCATCTTTCCCTCATGGAACTCCCATTCCTCCTACGTGTCTACACCAGAGCCTGCCTGCTGGTGCAGATGATGTGAGGTGTTTCCCTTACCCAGTACCGACAGACCAATCAGCTTGCATGTTAAGGACTCCAGGGGAACGTCATTGTTCTGAACATCAGTAATACTGAGTACTTACACTGTGCTGGACGTCCTCTAAATCCTGCACAAATATTAGCTTCCTTTTCCTTGAGGCCTTCTGGTTCCTTGGCTTTCATGGCTGTCTTCTCTTGGTCTTATCTCATTGGCTGCTCTTCCACCAGGCTGCTCCTGCTCCTCTTCCTCGTCGTCCTCTCCCCCTGTGCTTTACCTTTGGGTGGCGTTGTCCACGCACAGCGCTACAGCAATCGACTCTTTGCTGATCACTCGCACATTCACCTTCCCCCGCCTCTCCAGCTTGGGGCTATTCGGTCCTACATATTTAACACTCGCTGACACATTGCCTTGGATGCCCACCATCATCTCAAGCTCATCCTGGAGAAAAAAATTCTCCTTGTTTTCCCTCCTCTTCCCCTTTCTCCACTGCTGTCACCATCGCCATCTGTCTCAATGCTCAAACTTGCAACCTTGAAGTCATCCGTGACTCCTCTTCCCCATACATTCACTATTCTTTACATAAATAAACACCAGTACTGAAAATACAGATCACCATTCCATGGCCTGGCACAACGCTGCACTGCACTGACTGTATTTATTTCGGGTCTCTCTGGCGCCTTCCATCCGAGGATCCCAAAGCGCTTTACAGATATTAATTAACAGCCTCACCCTGCAGGGAGGGGTAAGTATCATCTCCATTACAGAGAAGAAGACTGAGATCTGAAGTGACTTTCTGAACCTCATGCAGTGAGTAAGTGGCGGAGCCTGGAATAAAAGGAGATCTCCTGACTCTATCACGTACTCTAACTGGACTCTGCAATCTCTCATAAGAAGACCAATATTTACTGAATTTTACGCCTTTCCCTGGAGTGCAGTGTTTTGGCTGCTGATGCCCATGACCCCATAGCATTATGCTTGCGGTTTCATATGCTTTGGGAGCCCTGGAACACAAGTGCTGAGGCCAATGGAAGATTTTCCCAGAACTTCACACAGACTCCAACGTCTTCCTGCCGCTCCCCTGCAGGATTCCCTTGCCCTCAGCCAGGTCAGTTGCAGTCTAGCAGGACAACAATTGTTTCACACAGTATCTGAATGTTCTGAGCTGCTCTTAAGTGTCTGAAATTGCACAGTATGAAACAAGACAAACCAGCTCAGGCCCATGAAGACACTTGGGACCTCAGCATGGTAGTGGAAAAAAGCCTTAAAGGAGACCTTTGAAAACCTTAGCCTCTGTCCCACAGGAAGGAGGCACATAACTGGATTCTGGCATCCCCTTCTGGGGTCCAGCTGTTTCCTTTAGAGGCTTTGAAGTCCTGCATGAACTTTTCACTTCCAATGGCAGCAGAACTTAGGGAGGCAGCATGAGCCGGCTATATAAAACATTCCTGTGTAAACACTTTCTTTGCAGCCTGGCCTGTCTCTGGAGGGTGATAAGGAAGGTGTGAGTGACTAAGCTGCTGGCTTTGAAATGCAGTCATGTTTTCAGCCTGGAATTGCAGTGTGCTCTCAAGGTAAAGGTCTCCCAGCCAATTGTGTGCTCTTTAATTTCTTGTTAGTTGGGCCTTCCCTGCCCGGCTGTGTGCAATGGGCTTTGTAGCTGTCAGTCTCACAGGTGGCGGTGTGCAGTTGTTTCCCTCCTTATGTGGTGCAGAGTACCAGGGAGTTCTTGGTCTTTTACAGTTGAGTGGGAGCACAAGGGCCCTGTCCCAAGGGGTTCACAAAAGAAAGGAATCTCTTACCTTCTGTTCCTGATCAGAGTTGGGGTTGCCTTCAGCTGGAGGTTCCCCCGGTGTCTGGCTGTGTCACAAGTAGGGTTTCTCCAGTATATTCCCGTCTTGGAAGAATGACCACCAGTGATTACTAGAGAGCTTTGCGGAGACCCACTTCTGTGTGCCCAGTAGAGTCTGTTTGTCTGCCCTGCCCTGCTTACGTCAGGACTGTGGGGAAACCAGATACTTGATCTATCCCTGTCTCTGAAGAGATTATTGGGGAGTTATGTGGACGTTTGAGCAGTAACTCCTTGTGGGGAATTTATTTCAGGGGGACACCTGAATCAGAACTCCTAGAAATGTTCCATATTGTGAGTCATGGGGAAGGCCTGAGAACTGATGCACGCTATGCTCTGAACTAGCTCTGTATCTCTCAGACCCCAGAGAGAAGATGAGGTTCTGACTGTGCACCCTCCATGGGACTTAATGGTTTCTTGCATAGCAGGAGCAAACTCTACTGTTGGGATAAGTCACCTGGCTGCCCCATTGCTAGTGAGTAAAAGGGAAGGTCCTTCTGCAGTGACCAGAGCAACATCCCATGTTCTTTGGAAGAAGCAATGGTCAATTTTTTGGGAGAGGTGAGGGGGACGATGAGGTGTGTGCCAGGGAGATTGGAGGGGAGGAGGTAATAGTAATTGAAATACAGACTGCTGAGGGCATGGACTGGGCTGATGGGGGCATGGAGTTTTAACTGTGTGGCTACAGAGGAAAGGTCAGTCTTCAGAATCTTGGGGGGTGGAAGTGCAGGATTTAGACATGGGACAAGAAGGAGTCAAAGCTGTCTTAACCACAAGCCCATCCTTCCTCTGGCATCTCTGTCTGAATGCTGCAGCCCAGGTTGGCTGGGTTCGTTATTTCAGCTGAGCCTCCATTTCTTGCCAGCCTGGCTTTGAGCCGACAGGTTAGTGAAAGGGGGGCCCAGAGCCTGGGGAAGAGGGCATTCACCTGACCTGAGCTCAGCGCTGCAGGGAGCCAAGAAAGTAGGTTTAAAAACAAAAATCCGCTAGCCAGACCCCTTCCTCCCACTTCCAGGGTTTCATTTCTGAAAACAGCTGGGAAGCTAACCCCAGGCCAAGCCAGGGGAAGGAGTAAAGGGCAACTGAAATCAAGCTAGCTCCATCTTTGATCCTGAAATAAGGGCTTCATCCCTGGAGGCACGATGTCCCCCCACCTCACTGGGGCACATGGCCCTGTCTCATCCCACCCCACCTTTCCTCTGTGCAGCTCTCCTCACGGGCTAACCTGCCTGCCCTGCCCAGCCCAGCCTGCTTCATTAGTCATCTTTCCCTGCATCTCAGGGTGTGCTACCTATTACAGAGCAGCAAGAAAGAACACCTTTGGGTAAAAACAAGCCCTGGCTAACGTGCTGCTCTCTCCAAAGTGTGCCTGGCAAAGTATTTAATTAGCCTCCTCAAACTTCTTTTCCTCACCTGCAGATTATAGTGATCTCAACCCAAGAAGCCCTGGAATGTGATTCCTTTCAAGGACATGTTCAATTGAGACGTAATGACGTTGACTTGGTGTGTAACAGAATATAGTATGAAGAGCATGGAGTGGATTTTATTAACACTATTGAGATGCTTGTGAATGATTTTATGACTATACTTATTGATGACTTCTTTCTCTGAATGTCACTGTAATTGGCAGTAAAAGTCACTAGATTTGTGTCTGGTCACTTTGACACTTATTTTCTCACGAGGGAAATCAAAAAGTCCCTAAATCTAGTGACAAAGTTGGTAAGGTGGCAACACAGTGACCTAGGCAGCTTTCTAATAACCTTGGGCCTTTCCTGCGCTTTTCTCTCATTACAAATGTTGACCTTATTAGTTAAAGGGCAACTCTGAAGTGGTGACTGAATTATCTGATTATGCCTGCCAGGGTGCTCAGCACATGGGGGCAGTCGCTGCAGTTTCAGCACAAATGACTTTGGTCCAGTGGTTTTGGTCACATTAAAAAGAGGGATTAGATGAACATGAGCCTGAATTAAGTAGAAGGCCCGGTGTGTGGTTTCCATTGAGCAGAGGGATGGTCAGGGCAAGAGGATGCAGGGGGAAAGAGAGAACATGATTTGAGGGTGCTCCAGTTCCATGGCTGCATGGAGAAGGGGGCCACATAGTCTGCAGCGCATGGCTAGAACTAGAGCTGTCTGTCTGCTTTGCTTCTGATGAAAGGTTGTTGCTCTTCTCTGCCTCCTGGACCCTGGAAGGGAAACAGCATCTTCATCCCTCTTTCCTACAGCCTTGCCCCTCAAGCTGCCATCTGCACAGCAGAGAGAAGAGCAAATGATCCAGTCTTGCTCACTGGACCCAGTACTCCCTGCCCCCTGTCCTTACACACATCTGAGGGCGGAGAGGGAATCTAGCCCTGGAGGCTGTATTGAGAAATCTGCCTGGTGGAGTTTGATGTTTGTTCTGCTCTCCCTGTGGGAGCTGTGCTCACGTAAAACAACAGATCACTGGAGCTGAGGACCGCTGTGCACTTAGCAGCTGGGCTAGGATTGTGCTTTCAGCAGAGGTGGGACCCATCTCAGGTGAAATGAAGGGTTCCAGCATCCCTGACTGCAGAGGTGCCCTGTGGACAGTGAGGGTTTGGAGACTTTGTGTTTAGGGTGGCCAAGATTTTAGTTCTGAGAATTGGAAATTGCCCTGACAGTCCCTCTCCTGCCTTGGCCGCTTTGCTCACTGCAGCAAGGTACTGAGACTAACGCAGTCTGGTGCATGCTCTCCTCCCCCAGTCACTGCTGTCTGTGACTGTTGATAGCTGTACACCAGTAGTGACTGCAGCACCCACAAGCGATGGCAGGGCACACTCTAGCTTTTCACCTCGCTCTCCCCAAAGCTGCAACATTCCTTCGCCATAACTGCTTAAAGAACCTGGAACAGGGACCAAAGAGCCAGTTTCCCATCCCCACTACCTGTTTGTGCCTGAGAAACGCCAAAGTTGGCCAGCGGTTGTTTTGCTCTCTGGCTCCTGCTGAGCTCTGTCCCCAGCTGCTCTCAGCACTGCTTCGGGGAAGGGGCAGTCCAAAGGTTTCATGCTCCTAGGGCTTGGACAGAGCCAGTGGCCCTGATGTTTGTTTTCTGGATCAGGAGCCTGCAGCTGGAAGACTTTGTGCTTTCCACAAAGGACTTTGTGCTTTGAAAGTGGCTGAGCCTGTGCAACCGGGCAGGGAGACCTCTACTCTCCTGTTCCCCCTCCATGTGGGTGTGGTTCATGTTCCACCTGCACAGTGGGGGATTGCACCCAAGCGCAGGTGTTAGGGTGCTATGCTGGCAGAGATGGGGCAGGGGATATGTTCCAGGTTGCATTAGATTGTAAGGTTTCAGAGGAGCAGCCGTGTTAGTCTGTATCCACAAAAAGAAAAGGAGGACTCGTGGCACTTTAGAGACTAACCAATTTATTTGAGCATGAGCTTTCGTGAGCTACAGCTCACTTCATCGGATGCATACTGGGGAAACTGCAGAAGATGTTTGTTTTTATACACACAAATCATGAAAAAATGGGTGTTTATCAGTACAAAAGGTTTTCTCTCCCCGCACCCCACTTTCCTGTTGGTAATAGCTTATCTAAAGTGATCACTCTCCTTACAATGTGTATGATAATCAAGGTGGGCCATTTCCAGCACAAATCCAGGTTTTCCCCCCCCCCCCCACACACAAACCCACTCTCCTGTTGGTAATAGCTTATGTAAAGTGATCACTCTCCTTACAATGTGTATGATAATCAAGGTGGGCCATTTGCAGCACAAATCCAGGGTTTAACAAGAACGTCTGAGGAGGGGGGGGGGGGCGAGTTAGGAAAACAAGGGGAAATAGAAAAGGAGTACTTGTGGCACCTTAGAGACTAACCAATTTATTTGAGCATAAGCTTTCGTGAGCTACAGCTCACTTCATCGGATGAAGTGAGCTGTAGCTCACGAAAGCTTATGCTCAAATAAATTGGTTTAGTCTCTAAGGTGCCACAAGTACTCCTTTTCTTTTTGCGAATACAGACTAACACGGCTGTTACTCTGAAACCTGTTATTATGAAAGGGGAAATAGGTTACCTTGCATAATGACTTAGCCACTCCCAGTCTCTATTCAAGCCTAAGTTAATTGTATCCAATTTGCAAATGAATTCCAATTCAGCAGTCTCTCGCTGGAGTCTGGATTTGAAGTTTTTCTGTTGTAATATCGCAACTTTCATGTCTGTAATCGCGTGACCAGAGAGATTGAAGTGTTCTCCGTCTGGTTTATGAATGTTATAATTCTTGACATCTGATTTGTGTCCATTTGTTCTTTTACATAGAGGCTGTCCAGTTTGACCAGTGTACATGGCAGAGGGGCATTGCTGGCACATGATGGCATATACCACATTGGTAGATGTGCAGGTGAACAAGCCTCTGATAGTGTGGCTGATATTATTAGGCTCTGTGATGGTGTCCCCTGAATAGATATGTGGGCACAGTTGGCAACGGGCTTTGTTGCAAGGACAGGTTCCTGGGTTAGTGGTTCTGTTGTGTGGTATGTGGTTGCTGGTGAGTATTCGCTTCAGGTTGGGGGGCTGTCTGTAGGCAAGAACTGGCCTGTCTCCCAAGATTTGTGAGAGTGTTGGGTCATCCTTCGGGATAGGTTGTAGATCCTTGATAATGCGTTGGAGGGGTTTTAGTTGGGGGCTGAAGGTGACGGCTAGTGGCGTTCTGTTATTTTCTTTGTTAGGCCTGTCCTGTAGTAGGTTTATGCTCAAATAAATTGGTTAGTCTCTAAGGTGCCACAAGTACTCCTTTTCTATTTCCCCTTGTTTTCCTAACTCGCCCCCCCCTCCTCAGACGTTCTTGTTAAACCCTGGATTTGTGCTGCAAATGGCCCACCTTGATTATCATACACATTGTAAGGAGAGTGATCACTTTACATAAGCTATTACCAGCAGGAGAGTGGGGTGGGGGGAGAGAAAACCTTTTGTACTGATAAACACCCATTTTTTCATGATTTGTGTGTATAAAAACAAACATCTTCTGTATTTTCCACAGTATGCATCTGATGAAGTGAGCTGCAACTCACGAAAGCTTATGCTCAGATAAATTGGTTAGTCTCTAAGGTGCCACAAGTACTCCTTTTCTTTTTGCAAATACAGACTAACACGGCTGTTACTCTGAAACAATACAAGTGGTTCTTCAGCAGAGATTTCAATGCAGAGAGCAGAGTGGCCTTAGAGATCAGCTCAGAAGGGGTCCTTTGATGATGATGATGATTTCCTCCTCATATATTTTGTGAACAGCCTCACCTCTCCCGCCTGGGATTCTGGGAATGTTTCAAAGTCAGGCATATCTGAGATACTCCTGGCTGTTGCTGTTTAATTTGGTCCCCATGGCAGCTGCCTGGCTTGGAGTGTGGGTGGGGGCAAGATAGTTTTTATTTAAAGCTTGATGTGCTGGCACCAATAGGGTTGTGCGTTGCTTCTATGAACAGGAAGTCTGATTGGCTGCAGCATCAATAGCTTAGACAGGAGACAGATCCCAGAGCAAGCTGCTACTCAGGAGGTGGTGATGTGTGGTTCTAGCGAAACAGAGGGATTCCTAGGAAAGGGAAAATAGGACAAGGTAGTGATAGCAGTTTAAAATATCCTCTGATGTACAACCTGGGGGTTCCAAGTTCCCCTGGTCTGCGCTGCAAGCTAGTATACATACAAGCTGAAGTAACCAGGGGATCCTGTCTGTATTTGATCTTGCCAGGGTGGGAAACTCCATCTTGGATACTGCCTGCCGGGGCAGTGGGGCTGGGACTGCCACCGGGCTGTGCAGGGGCAGTGTGGGGCAATGGGGTGGGGACCTGGCTTGGGATACCATCTGTTGCACATGCTGGGAGACTACCCAAGTGGAGGCATTAAACCTTTCACATCTGACCACTGGAGACAGGCTGTTTTTGTATTGTGACACCGGTGCTGTTCATATCTGTCTGTGCTGGGAAACAGCAAAGTCTGAGGCTGCCCCCTCTCCCCTCCTTCCCTTTTTCCTGCTGTCTGACTGGCACTTGAAAGGGAATTCAGACTGCCCTCTCCAGAGCAGGACCTTCCTTCCTCCCTGTCTGCCTTCAGCAGGAATTTACTCCTTCTGTCCCTCCCACTCCCAGGTTGTCCCTCTTCTCTCCTGACTCCCCCTTCTCCTTGCCTGAGGTCCTGAGAGTAACCACTCCCCCTTTTCTCTCTCAGCCAGGGACAGCAGGTTTGGATGCCCTTTCTGCCACCTGCCCAACAGCAGCCGGAAGAGTGGTCCCTCTGCCTCGTGGCAGGTAAGCGGGGAGGGGAAGACTTTAACCAGAAAAAAAATCCTTGTCAGCTGGCACTAGCTAGAGGTGTGGTCGGGGGAAGGGGCCACGGGCCAGAGGTCAGGCAGGGCTGGTGCAGCTCACCCTGCCTGTGCCCTCCATGGAGCTCAGGTAAATATTTAATGATGCAGCGTGCCAGAGAACTTGGCATCCGAGGGCTTGAATCAGCACAAACCACACCTGTTCTTTGGGAACAGTGATGTGGGAAAGCCGCGTCCTTTCTGCGAGAGCAGAGTTCGCTAGAAAGGGAGAATGGCTGGACCTGCTTGTGGGAAGCTGGGCTGACAGTGACTCCAGGAGGTGAGGAAGACTCAGGGTTTCCAACATCTGCTTTTTATTAAGCATAACAGTAGGTTACAGGTAGTGCTGGCCTTCGGGGCAGCTGTGGCCTAGTGGATTGTGCCATTATGGCTTGGGTCTGGGAGTGACCTGGGTTCTGTTCCTTGCGGTGTGATGTTGGGCATGTCTCTTCCCCTCTCTGCGCCTCAGTTGCCATATCTGTAAAAGGATGACACCCTTCTAAAGTCCTTGGAGAGCCACAGATGAAAAGCACCTGTCGAGGGCCTTGTACTAGCATTGCAGGCAAGCTTTGGCTTCCCAAAGTCCTGGGAGGCCAGGGAAACCTTTGGAAAATCTGGATTTTCAAAAAGGAGAAATGTTGGCTTGATAAATATGGAAAACACGCAGGCTTGGGTCCCACCCACTGAGCAAACCCAGGGCAGGGACCTCTCCTAAGGCAGCATGATGTGCTGTGCATGTTCACATCCCTCCTCACTTCAGGGGGTGCTGCACTGGACACCCCAACTGCATGGGAGCAGCACTGGTCCCAGCCTGAGCAGTGTCTCTGGGACAGGAGCAGGCTGCCCTGCTATGTCTACTGTGTTGGTTTTGTAACCTGCTGCTCCGAGGAACCAGACTTTCGACAGATGCCTCAATGTTTTCCTTAGAAATGGACTAGTTTTCTGGCTCAGGAACCCAGTGGTCTCTGAAACAGGATCCTCATCCCATTGGCCTTGGTAGCTCTCGCCATCCTTCCCATTCCCCACAAGGCCTTGGGCTTTCCTGCCTTGCAGAGCCGCTGAGCTGCCTCTTACTCTTGTAGGTTTGACTCCTGCTGTGATAAATGAAGGGGTGGGGGAGAGCTCTTTTTTATGGACACCCAGCCAGCCAGTTAGCTACAAAATCCCTGTTAGTAGCTATTCTCTACTTGCTTTACCTGTAAAGGGTTAAAAAAGCCCATAAGTAAAAGAAAGGGACTGGGTACCTGACCAAAAGAGCCAATGGGAGGGCTAGAACTTTTTAAAACTGGGGGGGAAACTTTCCCTTTGTCTGTTTTGTTGTTGCTCTCCAGAGAGAGGGGACAGAGCAGGACAGGGCTGGAGCAATGCTGTAAGCAGCTTTAAAACTAGGTATGAAAAAGCATCAATTCATACCTCAAACCTATTTTATCTAAAACCCCAGATATGTAAGTAAATCAGGGAATGTCTAGGAAGGTGCGATTAGGGTTATTTCTTATTGGCTTGTGGACTCCTCTATGCTAACCCAGATGCTTTTCTTTTGCTTATAACCTTTAGGCTGGACCTCAAGAGAGCTATCTTGATGCTTAATTTTTGTTACAATTTCTTTTAAGATCTAGCAAAAAGCCTAAGTTCCAAATGTATTTCCTTTCTTTTTGGGTTTAATAAAATTTACCTTTAAGAACAGGATTGTATTTTTGTGTCCCTAAGATGTTTGAGCATATGTTATTTAATTAGCTGGTGGCAACAGTTGATTTCCTTTGGTTTTTTTCCCTGAGCTCTTCCCCTGGGGGGTTCGGGGGAGGGGGAGGTGTGTATGACAGGGCTTGAGGGTACCCCACAGGAAGGAATTCCCAAGTGTTCCTTCCTGGGCTCTCAAAACGGGAGGGGGTTGCACTTGGGTGGTGGCAGCATCTACTCATCCAAGGTCAGAGAGAAGCTGTGACCTTGGGAGTTTAATACCAGCCTGGAGTGGCCAGTGTTAATTTTTAGAATCCTTGCGGGCCCCCACCTTCTCCACATGAAGTGTCAGAGTGGAGAATCAGCCTTGACACCTGCCCTTAGTGCTCTAGAGATGGCAGTAACTGGGGCCTGTGGGGAACAATAATCTATAAGGCCTACTGCTAAAACTAGCTGTGTTGCAGGACTGTGCTTTGATGCTGCAGCTCAGGTAGGAGCTGGGGTTCTCAAGCCTGGAGGGGAGGTGGGCTTGAGAGCCCCAGCTCCAGCCCCAGCTGCGACATCAAAGCACCATCTGTGCAGCTGTTTTTAGTGCACTTGTAAAAGGCCCCCTAACATAGGAGTGGGCCCAGGCTGGGAGGCTCCCTCCCAAATACAGTGTAGACATCCCCTGAGCATCCTGACTCCTACTCCTGTGTCTAATCTACCAGATTGCAGTGCCCAGCAGCCAAATAGATCTCAAGAGAGTCCGCCTTCAGGTGTAACATTATGATTAACAGAAATCCTGGTTTTAGAAAATGTTTCATCTTTGAACTGGTGCAGCAAGATTCCGATACTCACATTGGTGTTGGGTTGCACCACTGCACAAGTCATCCCGTTGCCTCTGGTTAGTCTACTGCGGGAGTTAATGTACAGTACTATTTGACTTCAGTATTAAGTGTATCAGAGCCTGACATATCAGCACTCGCAAGCCTGTGCTTGACAACGGAGGCAGCTGCCCTTAGAGGTGGAGCGACTTGGGGGGCAGGGAATGGGTGGTGGGAGAGGGCTCGAATGCAGCATGCAGAGTACAGCGTTATGAATTTTTTAGTGGTCCTTGTTTAGGGTGCTTTGCATAACTCCCGGGTGATTCTGCCATTCATGAGCAACGAGATCATCTCAGAAGCATGCCAGTAAAAAATTTTTGTAGCACCCTATCACATTTATATCTCTCCTCCCAGCCCACCCCTGCCCCCTCTCCCTCCACAACTCTCAGTATTACATCGCACTTGGTCCATTCCTCTACATGGGCACTGAGGCAGAAAGGCAGTGCAGGAGTGCCCTATATGCTAATCTCTGGGGATTTTTCTATTTTTAAATATCCCAAATCATGAGGCTTCCGCAGTTTCTTTCCACAACCGCCTCCTACAGCATTTCTCTCAATGAATGAGTATCTTTACATAGCCCAAGATACACACATAAGTGATTTTATAAAGATTGAAGCCACTGGTAAGTACTGACTCTTGTGGGTCAGATATAGATGGTGGGTAGAGTGAGTTTTCATATAAATATTGTCATTAATGGAATATGTAAACTCTTCAAGCTAATGATGGCTCTATGAAACTTGCCCTAGTTATTTCCAGTTTTTCTAATGCTTCGTTCTTTAATGGTAACAGTGTAGTCATATAATTTGCATAATGGCTTCACAACAGAGAAGAAAACCCATGGAATGAAATCCTGACAATGTTGAAATCAGTGGTAGACAGTGGTAGACTTTAACCAGGACCAGGATTTCACTCATGATCTCTCCCACAAGGTGCCTACAGACTAATAAAGTTACTAATGCAATTGCTAGAGGCAGAGCTGGTAGTATTAAGGTTGCCTGACACTTCCCATTATAAGACCCCTTTTCAGTTGTTTATAACTTTGCCAAACTATAAACATTTGGCCTGAAATTTCCATGCTGGGTGTCTACTTTAGGTGGAATTTTATTTTGTAAGATTTCAGCCAAAACAATTCAGCCATTTTATTGTTTCATAGAGTTTAAGCCAGAAGAGACCCTTAGATCAGTGGTTCCCAGACTTGTTCTGCCGCTTGTGCAGGGAAAGCCCCTGGCGGGCCGTGCCGGTTTGTTTACCTGCTGTGTCTGCCGGTTCAGCCAATCGTGGCTCCCACTGGCCGTGGTTCGCTGCTCCAGGCCAATGGAAGCTGCTGGAAGCGGTGCGGGCTGAGGGACGTACTGGCCGCCGCTTCCAGCAGCTCCCATTGGCCTGGAGCAGTGAACCGCGGCCACTGGGAGTCGCGATCGGCCGAACCTGCGGATGCGGCAGGTAAACAAACGGGCGCGGCCCGCCAGGGGCTTTCCCCGCACAAGCAGCAGAACAAGTTTGGGAACCACTGCCTTAGATCACCTAATCTGACCTCTTGGCTATCACCAGGCCATTAAATTTCACCCAGATAATCCTGTATTAAACCCAAAGACTTTAGTCACACTATAGCATTTTAGTCCTCAGGAGGCTAAACTGTGCACCACAGGAAGAGGTCATGAGAGACCAATGCCTGAGGCCCCTGCAGTGACAGGGTCTTGATTAGGCAAGATATGCCCGGATGCTCCCAGCAAGCGAACTATGCCCCATGCTGTGGGGAAGGTGCCTGACAATCTGACCTGTGGGGAAAATTCTTTCCCAACTCCAAATCTGGCAACCAGTTGGACCCTGAGCATTTGTGCTAGACACGCCACCCAGGCACTTGTTAGTCTCAACTAAGCACACTCCAGAGTTGTCTCCTCCCACCCGCTGTTCCCCCTGGGCTTCTGCTGAGCCCTGGTCTACACTAGGACTTTAGGTCGAATTTAGCAGCATTAAATCGATGTAAACCTGCACCCGTCCACACGATGAAGCCCTTTATTTCGACTTAAAGGGCTCTTAAAATCAATTTCCTTACTCCACCCCTGACAAGTGGATTAGCGCTTAAATCGGCCTTGCCGGTTCGAATTTGGGGTACTGTGGACACAATTCGACGGTATTAGCCTCCGGGAGCTATCCCAGAGTGCTCCATTGTGACCGCTCTGGACAGCACTCTCAACTCAGATGCACTGGCCAGGTAGACAGGAAAAGAACCGCGAACTTTTGAATCTCATTTCCTGTTTGGCCAGCGTGGCAAGCTGCAGGTGACCATGCAGAGCTCATCAGCAGAGGTTACCATGATGGAGTCCCAGAATCGCAAAAGAGCTCCAGCATGGACCGAACGGGAGGTACAGGATCTGATCGCTGTTTGGAGAGAGGAATCCGTGCTATCAGAACTCCGTTCCAGTTTTCGAAATGCCAAAACCTTTGTCAAAATCTCCCAGGGCATGAAGGACAGAGGCCATAACAGGGACCCGAAGCAGTGGCGCGTGAAACTGAAGGAGCTGAGGCAAGCCTACCAGAAAACCAGAGAAGCGAACAGCCGCTCCGGGTCAGAGCCCCAAACATGCCACTTCTATGATGAGCTGCATGCCATTTTAGGGGGTTCAGCCACCACTACCCCAGCCGTGTTGTTTGACTCATTCAATGGAGATGGAGGCAATACGGAAGCAGGTTTTGGGGATGAAGAAGATGATGATGATGAGTAGGAGGTTGTAGATAGCTCACAGCAAGCAAGCAGAGAAACCGGTTTTCCCGACAGCCAGGAACTGTTTCTCACCCTGGACCTGGAGCCAGTACCCTCTGAACCCACCCAAGGCTGCCTCCTGGACCCAGCAGGCGGAGAAGGGACCTCTGGTGAGTGTACCTTTTAAAATACTATACATGGTTTAAAAGCAAGCATGTGAAAGGATTACTTTGCCCTGGCATTTGCGGTTCTCCTAGATGTACTCCCAAAGCCTTTGCAAAAGGTTTCTGGGGAGGGTAGCCTTATTGCGTCCTTCATGGTAGGACACTTTACCACTCCAGGCCAGTAACACGTACTCGGGAATCATTGTAGAACAAAGCATTGCAGTGTATGTTTGCTGGCATTCAAACAACATCCGTTCTTTATCTCTCTGTGTTATCCTCAGGAGAGTGAGATATAATTCATGGTCACCTGCTTGAAATAGAGTGCTTTTCTTCAGGGGACACTCAGAGGAGCCCATTCCTGCTGGGCTGTTTGCCTGTGGCTAAACAGAAATGTTCCCCGCTGTTAGCCACAGGGAGGGGGGAAGGTTGAGGGGGTAGCAACGCGGTGGGGGGAGGCAAAATGCGACCTTGTAACGAAAGCACATGTGCTATGTATGTAATGTTAACAGCAAGGTTTACCCTGAAAGAGTGTAGCCACTGTTTTATAAAATGTGTCTTTTTAAATACCGCTGTCCCTTTTTTTTCTCCACCAGCTGCATGTGTTTCAATGATCACAGGATCTTCTCCTTCCCAGAGGCTAGTGAAGCTTAGAAAGAAAAAAAACGCACTCGCGATGACATGTTCTCCGAGCTCATGCTGTCCTCCCACACTGACAGAGCACAGACAAATGCGTGGAGGCAAATAATGTCAGAGTGCAGGAAAGCACAAAATGACCGGGAGGAGAGGTGGCGGGCTGAAGAGAGTAAGTGGCGGGCTGAAGAGAGATCTGAAGCTCAAATGTGGCGGCAGCGTGATGAGAGGAGGCAGGATTCAATGCTGAGGCTGCTGGAGGACCAAACCAGTATGCTCCAGTGTATGGTTGAGCTGCAGCAAAGGCAGCTGGAGCACAGACTGCCACTGCAGCCCCTGTGTAACCAACCGCCCTCCTCCCCAAGTTCCATAGCCTCCACACCCAGACGCCCAAGAACGCGGTGGGGGGGCCTCCGGCCAACCAGCCACTCCACCACAGAGGATTGCCCCAAAAAAAGAAGGCTGTCATTCAATAAATTTTAAAGTTGTAAACTTTTAAAGTACTGTGCTTAAAGTGCTGTGTGGCATTTTCCTTCCCTCCTCCACCACCCCTCCTGGGCTACCTTGGTAGTCATCCCCCTATTTGTGTGATGAATGAATAAAGAATGCATGAATGTGAAGCAACAATGACTTTATTGCCTCTGCAAGCGGTGATGGAAGGGAGGAGGGGAGGGTGGTTAGCTTACAGGGAAGTAGAGTGAACCAAGGGGCGGGGGGTTTCATCAAGGAGAAACAAACAGAACTTTCACACTGTAGCCTGGCCAGTCATGAAACTGGTTTTCAAAGCTTCTCTGATGCGTACCGCGCCCTCCTGTGCTCTTCTAACCGCCCTGGTGTCTGGCTGCGCGTAACCAGCAGCCAGGCGATTTGCCTCAACCTCTCACCCCGCCATAAACGTCTCCCCCTTACTCTCACAGATATTGTGGAGTACACAGCAAGCAGTAATAACAGTGGGAATATTGGTTTTGCTGAGGTCTAAGCGAGTCAGTAAACTGCGCCAGCGCGCCTTTAAACGTCCAAATGCACATTCTACCACCATTCTGCACTTGCTCAGCCTGTAGTTGAACAGCTCCTGACTACTGTCCAGGCTGCCTGTGTACGGCTTCATGAGCCATGGCATTAAGGGGTAGGCTGGGTCCCCAAGGATACATATAGGCATTTCAACATCCCCAACAGTTATTTTCTGGTCAGGGAATAAAGTCCCTTCCTGCAGCTTTTGAAACAGACCAGAGTTCCTGAAGATGTGAGCGTCATGTACCTTTCCCGGCCATCCCACATTGATGTTGGTGAAACGTCCCTTATGATCCACCAGAGCTTGCAGCACTATCGAAAAGTACGCCTTGCGGTTTATGTACTCGGCGGCTTGGTGCTCCGGTGCCAAGATAGGGGTTCCGTCTATGGCCCCACCACAGTTAGGGAATCCCATTGCAGCAAAGCCATCCACTATGACCTGCACATTTCCCAGGGTCACTACCCTTGATATCAGCAGATCTTTGATTGCGTGGGCTATCTCACAGTATGCATCTCAACAAAACTAGGCCCCAAACTGCTTTCAGGAATTCCAGAAAATCAGGAACTGCAGGATGAGAGTGTGGAGGATCTGTTATTGCTCTCCTGTGCCAAGAGGAAATAGTTTTCCATAACCTCGAATAGGCTAGGAAGTAGATTTTATTTTATTTTAGAAGTTTAACATGGTTCATATAACTAACCATCCCCTATTTTTCAGCTTGACAGCTCCATAGCCAGGTCATGAATTGAATATCAAGGAACATTGGTCTGAAAATAAAGTTAGGAAAAAAATATGGTTTTGTCCATACTAAAAAAATTCTGGCAACCTTTTTCTTTGGGAAGCTCTAGCAGGAAGTGAATGGGGTGGGAAGAGGGAAAATAGGATTGGGAATTGGGGTGGGAGGAAGAATGGGACTGGCTGGGCAAGGAGACTGGGACTGGGAATCAGAGAGAAGGAGGTTTGGGATTGGAGAGGAGATAGATCTGACCAGAAACCAGCAGTGAGGAAGAGAGGGGATGGGGCAAAAGGGTCTGTTCCCACTAGAGAACACTCTCTTCCAGAGCCTGGAATGGAAACCATGATTCCTGAGTCTCATCATTCCTATGCTGCCAGCAAATAGCTGCAAAACCACTGGCAAAGTGTGTCTCATCCCAAAACTGGTCCACACAGAGGATGACAACCTACTATTGCTGTCAGCTACTCTGACAGCTCAAGTAGCAGAGACCTGTGCAGTGGTTCTAAAGGTTCCAGCCCTGCTGATTAACTATGTTGGTGTTAATATGATGCTACATGTTGGAATTTTTTCTAGTTGGCTCTTTTAAAAGCCTAGAAGGGAGGGGGAGTAGGAGGGGAGAGAATAAACTTGTTAGAAGAACATTTTTAAGGTTGTAAAGTCAAGCACTCAAAAATTAGGAAATGCCAGAATTAAGGTTGCCTGTTTAATCTTAATCCAGCCCCCTGTGTGCACTGTGATATGGTCTTTAATGACATGATCACATATCCCTTTTTTTTCCACAGGATCTCTGCAGAGAGGGTCCTCTCAGAGAGACATAGAGCTGACCCAAGATCTCATTGGGCTCACTAGAAAAACTCCCATTGACTTGAAGGGGAGCAGGATAAGGATCTTCCATCAAGGCATCTATCCAGATAGCACCCTCTTTGCTTTAGTCAACTCTGCAACCAGCATCTCTGCTAGTGAAGTTGAAGCATGGGAGCGGGAGCAGCAGAGTGAGACTGATTGAGATAGTTGGCTTCTTTTGCTTCAGGAATCCAGTCCTCTCCTGCCTGTGTCAATCTGCTCTTGCTTGGCTGGAGTCTTTTGTGGGGAGGCCTATCTCCCCCTGCCATGCTGGCTGCTCAGTGAGTTGAGCCCTGTAATTGCACATGGAATAATCTGCGGCACCCACACCAGAAAGATTCAGAGAATACAAAGCACAGCCATCTGTTTTCACTGGGGGTGCAGGGTGGGGAATGAGGGAGGGTTGCTTTCTCTCCTTTGCAGCTGCCCTCGAGGTGGATTTCACTTCCTTCCTTGCAGTAAACTGCCCATCTGCAAATCTCTCCTCTCCCCCAATGCCCGCACCAGTTTGTATTGTTTGTTCTTGTTCTCAGTGGAGGTAGCAGGGGAGAAGGAGCTGGGTACTGGACTCACCCTCTGGGTGTCTGGAGTCCTGCCCATATTTTTTGGAGACCTGCAGTGTTTAGGATTTTGTGTGTGTGTGTGTGATATATAATTTGTCCTTCCCAGGCTGCCTACTTTATCCTTTGTAAATGTTTAAGCACATATGCTAGTGAAACAATAGCTAGTTAGGAGACTTAGGGGCAGTAGAACCTTCGCTCAAGAAGGATGGAGTTGTGCCGAGCCCCTGAGCAAGAAGATTGATCTGTTACAGGATGGGTAACAATCTTTGTCTCTGAATTATTTCCATTGCAAAATTTTAGGCTTAGCCCTGTTATGTTCTTGTCTGTCTCCCTGCACGTGTGAGGGTCATTGACTCGAGGCTCCATTGCTCCAGCCAAGACATCCCGGAAGAGATCTGGCACTGGACCTAGTCCTGTCAGAGAGTTTGCATAACCAGAATACGGACAGAGAGGGAGCGCGTCATGCATAACAGATTTCCCTGCAGAATGAGCTTTCAACATGATACTCACTTAGCTTATAACTAACACTGACCTTCTGAATTACTTTCTCCTCTCTCTCTCTCTCTCTCTCTCTGAGTTATTCATGTAAGCAGTGTCAGGATGAGCTCCACCCTGACATCTGGTGGTGAGGTGTGGCAAAGAACTTCAGGGGCTGATCTCATTTGCATAGGCACACCCACCCCGCCTAGAATGAGGCCATAGCTTCCCAAATGGTCACTTTGGCTGCTGTGGGATCCCCAGTGTCTCTGTTATTGGGGCAGGAAGAATAAATTGTTATTACCCTGATTATGGGAACTGTGCTTGGAACTGTACTTGGCCTTTTGTTATGATGGAGGGACTCACCATCAACTAAGCACTCGCTAGGCAAGGGTCATGGGTTTTAAATCTCTGTGAATTAAGAGAGGCTGGGGACAAGTATTAATACTTGGTGGTATGGGTCCCTTGGTGAGGGCCTTATATGCTAATTGCCCTTCCTCCTCTCTCCACTGTAGAATATCAGAGTTAATTTTGATTCCATTAGGAGTCTAGTTACAGGCTGCTGAGCTCACTTTGGGCTAATGGTGCACCAGCAGTGAGGCTCCCCTACTGCAAGCTGAATTTACCAAAGAGATGAACTGACTAAGAGCTGAAATCACTGAGCATTGTGTTAAGTAGAGGAGGAGCCTGAAGATATATTGTGGAGCAGTTTGTGGGATGGCTGGAGTGCCTTGTGGACAGGCTGGTGGAGCAGTTCGTAGGATGGCGGGAGCTGCTGGTGGGACGCGGAGCAGTTTGTGGGATGGTGGGAGCTGCTTGTGGGCCGCGGAGCTGAATGAAGGAGTTCGTGGGGCGGCTGGCGAAGCGAAGGCCTATGGAGCTGTGGGGCGGTCAGCTTCAGATCATGTAAGGTGCCTCTTACCCCCGTCCCATCTCCACCCAGGTTGGGAGGTAAAGCTCCGCAGATAAACTTTCGAACTCTGGGGCTGCCCTGACCAGGGACAGAGTCTTTTGGGTCATTGTACTTTTGGGACTTTGGGTGATTTGGGGTTGCTGGACTCAAGAACCAAAGGGAAAGGGGCATGCCCCAATTTGCTTGGGGTGGGTTTTTTTGCTCATGGGTTGTGTTATGAATCCTGTTGGTGGTGTTTCCCCAACATAATGCCACATTGTTTCTCTCTGTTATTAAAAGGCTTTTTGCTACACTCAGACGATGTGCTTGCGAGAGGGGAAGTATTGCCTCTTGGAGGCGCCCAGCGGGGGTGGTATATATTTGTCCCAGGTCACTGGGTGGGGGCTCGAGCCGGTTTGCATTGTGTTATTGGAATGGATCCCCTAGATATTGAACCCGGCCCTTGTTGCTGCCAACTCTGACGAGCAGAAGGGTTACATTCATATGTGTGCACACAGAATAGGGTTTCATAGTTCAGAGATGCCCCATTTTTCCAGAGCCACATTTTGCCTTCTCGCCCCTTGTGATGAAAATGCCTGTCCTTTATTATAAACCATGGGCCGCATTTGTAAATAACATCTGATATTTGTGTTTCAGGCCTTGGTGGCAACACTGAGATAACACCTATTCCTGTTAGGCTGTATGTAGTCTATTTCCCCTCCCACCCCAGCATTTGGAACTCTGGGAACTAGCCACATACCAGCTGGTACAGATGAAAGACATATTGCAATGCTGGCTCAGCCTAACCCAGCATTCTTCTTGACCACGGGCTCTGTTCCCTGTAAGGGCTAGCAGGCTGGTCTGGTCTTGCTTCACAATTTCCCCCCTTAGTCAGTTGTAAACAGAGCTTGATGGCTGCAAGCCCAGTTATTCCCTTTAGACTTCTGCAAATAACTGGGTTGCTGTCACAATGACCGTTTTGGTCTGCTGAAATCTAGTAAGTAGCTGACCTTGGGTTTGGTTCTGTAGGATCCCAAACTGGTTGTGGCATCTGAATCTGCCTGGTGATGGGGCCTGGAGACAACAGGCTTGTGTATTACATCTAATGCAGAGTATTCTGGGTAACACGTAAAGAGATTATCCTGAAGCAGAAAGTGTAGAGCAGAGCAAGCCCAAAGTGCAGGGCAGTGAATCCAAACCTGATCCTGCTGGCCAGTGGTCCATGTCATAATCAGGTAGCTAAACTGAACCCATTTCCACTGGTTAGTGACCCCTCTTGGAAGCTAGCTGGGCTATTCCAATTAACCCATACTGGTCAGTTTCCTGATGTACTACACTTACCAGAGCATGGTACAAACTGCCCCTGTAGACCTTTATTCAGTATTTTAAATGCTGTCTTCTGACAGAAGTGCTTATCCTTGGTGCACTCTGAGAATTGGCCTGGGAACTATTGTCACCTCCTGCAGTGGTGTTTTTAATGTCTAAGTTATTTATCAGCTGCAGCATGAGAGGAAAGAGCATCTTCGCAAGCAGGCTGGCTAACCTAGTGAGGAGGGCTTTAAACTAGGTTCACCAGGGGAAGGAGACCAAAGCCCTGAGGCACGAGCAGGAGCACGTGAGAGGGGAGGGCTCCTGCCTCATACTGAGAAAGAGGGACGATCAGTGGGTTATCTCAAGTGCCTGTACACAAATGCACGAAGCCTGGGAAAAAAGCAGGGAGAACTGGAAGTCCTGGCAAAGTCAAGGAATTATGATGTGATTGGAATAATAGAGACTTGGTGGGATAACTCACATGACTGGAGTACTGTCATGGATGGATATAAGCTGTTCAGGAAGGACAGGCAGGGCAGAAAAGGTGGGGGAGTTGCACTGTATGTAAGAGAGCAGTATGACTGCTCAGAGCTCAAGTATGAAACTGCAGAAAAACCTGAGAGTCTCTGGATTAAGTTTAGAAGTGTGAGCAACAAGGGTGATGTCGTGGTGGGAGTCTACTATAGGTCACCGGACCAGGGGGATGAGGTGGACGAGGCTTTCTTCCGGCAACTCGCAGAAGTTACTAGATTGCAGGCCCTGGTTCTCATGGGAAACTTCAATCACCCTGATATCTGCTGGGAGAGCAATACAGCGGTGCACAGACAATCCAGGAAGTTTTTGGAAAATGTAGGGGACAATTTCCTGGTGCAAGTGCTGGAGGAACCAACTAAGGGCAGAGCTCTTCTTGACCTGCTGCTCACAAACCGGGAAGAATTAGTAGGGGAAGCAAAAGTGGATGGGAACCTGGGAGGCAGTGACCATGAGATGGTTGAGTTCAGGATCCTGACACAAGGAAGAAAGGTAAGCAGCAGAATACGGACCCTGGACTTCAGAAAAGCAGACTTTGACTCCCTCAGGGAACTGATGGGCAAGATCCTCTGGGAGAATAACATGAGGGGGAAAGGAGTCCAGGAGAGCTGGCTGTATTTTAAAGAATCCTTATTGAGGTTACAGGGACAAAACATCCTGATGTGTAGAAAGAATCGTAAATACGGCAGGTGACCAGCTTGGCTTAACAGTGAAATCCTTGCTGATCTTAAATACAAAAAAGAAGCTTACAAGAAGTGGAAGGTTGGACATATGACCAGGGAAGAGTATTAAAATATTGCTCGGGCATGTATGAATGAAATCAGGAGGGCCAAATCGCACCTGGAGCTGCAGCTAGCGAGAGATGTTAAGAGTAACAAGAAGGATTTCTTCAGGTATGTTGGCAACAAGAAGAAAGCCAAGGAAAGTGTGGGCCCCTTAATGAATGAGGGAGGCAACCTAGTGACAGAGGATGTGGAAAAAGCTAATGTACTCAATGCTTTTTTTGCCTCTGTCTTCACTAACAAGGTCAGCTCCCAGACTGCTGCGCTGGGCATCACAACATGGGGAATAGATGGCCAGCCCTCTGTGGAGAAAGAGGTGGTTAGGGACTATTTAGAAAAGCTGGACGTGCACAAGTCCATGGGGCCGGACGAGTTGCATCCGAGAGTGCAAAAGGAACTGGCGGCTGTGATTACAGAGCCATTGGCCATTATCTTTGAAAACTCGTGGCGAACGGGGGAAGTCCCGGATGACTGGAAAAAGGCTAATGTAGTGCCAATCTTTAAGAAAGGGAAGAAGGAGGATCCTGGGAACTACAGGCCAGTCAGCCTCACTTCAGTCCCCGGAAAAATCATGGAGCAGGTCCTCAAAGAATCAATCCTGAAGCACTTACATGAGGAAAGTGATCAGGAACAGTCAGCATGGATTCACCAAGGGATGGTCATGCCTGACTAATCTAATCGCCTTCTATAATGAGATTACTGGTTCTGTGAATGAAGGGAAAGCAGTGGATGTATTGTTTCTTGACTTTAGCAAAGCTTTTGACACGGTCTCCCACGGTATTCTTGCCAGCAAGTTAAAGAAGTACGGGCTGGATGAATGCACTATAAGGTGTGTAGAAAGTTGGCTAGATTGTCGGGCTCAACGGGTAGTGATCAATGGCTCCATGTCTAGTTGGCAGCCGGTGTCAAGTGGAGTGCCCCACGGGTCGGTCCTGGGGCCGGTTTTGTTCAATATCTTCATAAATGATCTGGAGGATGGTGTGGAATGCACTTCTCAGCAAATTTGCGGATGATACTAAACTGGGAGGAGTGGTAGATACGCTGGAGGGCAGGGATAGGATACAGAGGGACCTAGACAAATTGGAGGATTGGGCCAAAAGAAATCTGATGAGGTTCAATAAGGATAAGTGCAGGGTCCTGCACTTAGGACGGAAGAACCCAATGCACCGCTACAGACTAGGGACCAAATGGCTAGGCAGCAGTTCTGCGGAAAAGGACCTAGGGGTGACAGTGGACGAGAAGCTGGATATGAGCCAGCAGTGTGCCCTTGTTGCCAAGAAGGCCAATGGCATTTTGGGATGTATAAGTAGGGGCATAGCGAGCAGATCGAGGGACGTGATCGTCCCCCTCTATTCGACATTGGTGAGGCCTCATCTGGAGTACTGTGTCCAGTTTTGGGCCCCACACTACAAGAAGGATGTGGATAAATTGGAGAGAGTCCAGTGAAGGGCAACAAAAATGATTAGGGGTCTGGAACACATGACTTATGAGGAGAGGCTGAGGGAGCTGGGATTGTTTAGCCTGCAGAAGAGAAGAATGAGGGGGGGATTTGATAGCTGCTTTCAACTACCTGAGAGGTGGTTCCAGAGAGGATGGTTCTAGACTATTCTCAGTGGTGGAAGAGGACAGGACAAGGAGTAATGGTCTCAAGTTGCAGTGGGGGAGGTTTAGTTTGGATATTAGGAAAAACTTTTTCACTAGGAGGATGGTGAAACACTGGAATGCGTTGTCTAGGGAGGTGGTGGAATCTCCTTCCTTAGAAGTTCTTAAGGTCAGGCTTGACAAAGCCCTGGCTGGGATGATTTAATTGGGGATCGGTCCTGCTTTGAGCAGAGGGTTGGACTAGATGACCTCCTGAGGTCCCTTCCAACCCTGATATTCTATGATTCTTTTCACCTGCCTGTGGGAGCTGCAGCTGCTTTGTCAGCAGAACCAAAAGACCCCTTTGGCTGCTCTATCTCTTTCTTGAGTCAGGGTGAGGAGTGGGGAATGCATGTTCTTACATGCATTCCCACTATGGGGGAAGTATCAGGGGAATGAGCCAGAATGCTCGGAATAAACCTCAGCCAAACCCTGCCAGGTTCCACATCAGATGTCCGCTATAGAGAAGCTCTCTTTCCCAGAGGAGACCACTCCAGGAAGGCACTGAAATTGTTGAAATTTTTAGAAATTTTCAATTCTTGGTTTGGTTTGTTCTTCTGCCACTGACTGCAATAGAATAAATGATGGTTGAGGGTTGAGTCAACTTCTTAATTTCCCTTTTTTTTTTTTTTTTGCCATGCTGTGACTTTTCCAAAGTTGAAGAGGTTTTGGAAAGTTCAAGTGGCGGAAAGGAAGCTCTAGGACTCTGCCCCTTGGTAACCATTCAATAGACAGGGAAGTTTTGAAAAATTAAAACTGCAAAACAAAAAATGAAACCAGTAAATAGAAAAACTTGCACTTGGTGGCAAAAAGGGAAAAGAGAAGGGAGAGAAATGAAATTTTGAAAATGTGAAGTTTAACACTATACAGAATCAATGTAGCCGCTATTAAAAACTGGTTTACTGACAGATTGCAAAAAGTAATTGTAAGTGGGAAACTAGTCTTCTAAAGGGG